AAAAAAAAATAAATAAAAAAGAAAGGGGGGAAAAAAAGAGAAGAGAGAGAATAAAAAAGGAAAAAAAAATAGGAGAAGGGAAGAGATGTTCTCTCTCTCTCTCTCTCTTTCTCTCTCTCGAAACATTCTTACAAACGGTAAAGCCTCGGTTCGAACATGTGTATACTTGGAACGAGAGTAGTATCGTGTGTATTGGTTTTCAATTAATTACAATTTAACGAAAACGAGTCGTTTGAAAAGCGGCGGCTCGCCGCAAGGCTCGAAGCCTCTCTTTTTCCTAGAATATCTGGGAGCTCATCTCTTTTCCTCTTTCCCTCTCTCTCTCTCTCTTTAACATTTTCTCTTTTTCCCTCATGTCTCGTTCGAAATGATCGGGTCTCTCGTCGTCCGAAAATTCACCCCGTAATCGACGGACAAAAAGTAATTTCCCATCGAGCGGGACAAAGGGTGATTTTGCATGGGGGGGTCGTGCCGGCGATAGCCACGGGGGTGGCAGTGACCGGTGCGTGTAACGACCTACCCTTCTGCCTCCCGCAATCCCCCACTGCCACCACCACTGCCACTACCACCATCACCACCACCTCCACCTCCACCTCCAGTAACTTCAACTCCTACTACTACTACTACTGTTACTCCTACTCTTCCTCCTCCTACTCCCCGTATACCCTCCTCCACATACGAGACGGCCGTGGTTCGAACGCGTTTACGACTCGGACGCCACGTGCGCTCTATGCGTAGAAAAGGTGAGTGGTCAGAGATAGAGAGTATGTGTGTGTGTGAGAAAGAGAGAGAGAAAGAACGCGTGTATGCGTTCGCGGCCGATGTATTCGATCCGTTGGTATGTGGGGCTCTGGGACAATTTCAACTCCTCTCACCCTCTACTGCTGCATGCATCCTCTTTTCTACGCGTTCACTTTTTTTTCCCTCATCTTGCCCGTGAAATTCAACGAGAAACTGGATCACGCGCTGAATTTCAATCATTTGATCGTTCATACATATTCTCTTTCCCTTTCTCTATCTATTTTTCTCACACGTATCAAACTTAATTTATATTTATTCTAATCTCGATATAAAACGTGTTAGAATATTAGTAAAAAAAAGAAAACGAACGTTGCTTTGAGCAAACAAAAAATAAAAGAACAGAGAAAAGAAGAAGCCCAAATTCGCATAGCACGCGTTCTATACTTATTAGATTATTAAACGAAAAAAAAACGGAATAAATAATAGAAGTTGAATAATTTGAGAAATGTATAAAAGTCGCGGACGCGAAGAGAATTTACCGCGAATCGGTAATGCAGCACAGTACAGTACAGCACGGCACGGCACAGCTCAGCTCGGCTCAGCTCGGTTCGGTCGCAGGACGATAAATCGGTATGGCCAACTGCACGAGCCAACGAGCCGTGTCCAGTTTGCCGTCCCCTTCGTACAGAGTGAGCAAGAGGATAGAGAGTACGTACGTACGTGTGTGTGTGTATGTGCGCGCGCGCACGCACGCGAAAGAGTGAAAGAGAAAGAGAAGGCGAAAACGAATGGACAGAACGAAGGGAAAGGGTGTAGGAGAAAGATGGAAAATCGAGTGGACAGGGCTAGCAGGATGGAAAAGGGAGCTGGAATTGTATGGAAGAAGAGAGAAGAACGAAATGAAAGACAGAGACGTGGTTGCGTCAGGGTTGCGCGGGGGTATGCGTAGGTTTTGGGATGTGGGCTGGTAAGGGGGGTGGTGGTGATACAGGGCTGGGTTATGTATAGAAGGGGTTGGTGAGTTCGAAGGGTGAGAGGGACTATCCCGACATTCACCGCACGCTATTCTTCATACTCCATTATCCGTGCTCTACTCCACTCTACTCCATTATGCCGGCACCGCGTATAAACGAGGAGTCCTACCGCTCCGCCCCCACTCGACGAACCACCGTGTGTCTATCAGCTTGCTCGTATGCCACCCCCTTCGTGCTACAGCGATAAACATTATCCGCGGTAACTTCGACCGGCCGAAATGGTAAAAGTACAACGCCCGTCCACTTTGCCGAACAAATTTTCGTCGATGCTTCTTCCTTCCCTATCTATTTTTTATTCTCTCTCACTTTCCCTCTCTCTCACTCTTTTTTTTTCTCTTGAATTTTCTATCATCTTTTTTAAATTCTCAATAATTAAATAGGATTTTTACACAAACCTATATTTACTTTGGACAGCTAATAGTCTACTTCATTTTTTAGATTTTATTACTTCGTTACTTTTTTAAAGCTTCTATTTTACGATGTTGTTTTATTTCAACGAGAGAACGTTTGATTTTTGTTAAATTAAAAGTAACATAGAAATAATACTCCCTACTTATAGATATTCTCCTTACGTATTATCTCTTTCTACCTATCTTTTTCTTTCTATTTCTATTTCTCTTTACGAAACATCTGTGTAGGAGGAGAAGGAGTAAGAGAGAGTAAGAGAGAGAGAGATGGAGTCTAGCTGTTACCTTCCTTTCCACGTTTAGGTTTAATTAAATCTTTTGCGAATTTACATATGTATACACACACCTCCAGCGGAAAATCCTTTAGAACCCCTAGCGCAGGCTGCTGGCGGGTCCTTTGTAGAGATTCGTCGTCTCGTTACCCTCCGACGACGACGGCAACGCTCCGACGGCAGCACTAACCAACGCTAGCTAACAGCACCTTCCTCATTCACGCTGGAACGTAACCGAAGACGAAGGGGCAATTAGGGAGGCAAGGATATCGCTGGAAGGATCAGTCATTGAAATTAAAACGAGTTTAACTCTATCTGTCTGTCTCACTGTCTCACTCTCTTTTACTCTCTTTTTCTACTTCAATATTCTCTTTCAATGTAAACAAAAAAGAAAACATAAAATCGATAAATTATAATGAACTTACAACCATTCGTTCATCACAATGATCAAAATCTGAATAAAAATATAATGATCCAAAAAATATATATTAAACATCAAAGTATCTATTACTTAATAAAATAAAAATGTTCAACAACGAGATATAGTATGTTAAGAAAAAGAACAGAAGTATATGAACATGTGATAGAATTAATTGTAATTAATTTACGACACAATGCAAATATCATATTTTGAAATACACTTTTTATTTCGACTCGGTCAAAAACTACGATAACAATAGGTAATGGATATGTATATCGGAAATCATTCTCGTGAACGCAATATGTGTGTGTGTGTGTGTTTGTGTGGACGCGTGTGTGAATGTATGTGTATGTTCGTCGTCGGCGTGGAAAAACGAATAAGCGTCGCCGACGGCCGGGGGGAAAATTTCAAGGTTCGGGCTGACGATGAAAAAAGAAATCTCGAGCGTCGATTTTATCCCTCCCTCCCTCTCTCTCTCTCTCTCTCTCTTTCTCTCTTTCTTTCTCTCTATCTTTCATTCTTTTTCTTTCCCCTTATTCAGTAACTCTTACTATTTCTCGAGGCGAGTAAAATCGAAGCTTGGGACTTCGAATTTCGTTACTTTAGCAGAAATTTCGATGTGAGGTCCTCGGCAGCGTACCACCGGCGCAGAAAACCTTTTCTTCGTTGAATCGCTTCTTTGTAATCTGCGAACGAACATCGCCGTCGTTCTTCTGACTCTCTCTCTCTCTCATTCTTTTTTTCACTCTCATACTATCATTCTCATTTTCATTCTCATTCTCATTCTCATTCGTTCGCTATGCGACAAAAACGCTCTTCCTATCCTCTCTAGGAACGATTATTAATTTTATTACCTGTTCTTCTTTATTATTATTATTATTATTAATAATATTATTATTATTGTAAGATTCGTGAAAAAAATTGAACCGATTAGACACGCGGTTCTTCTGTTCTAATCTTTGAACTATCAAGGACCAATCAATCAATCGGTCAATTTACTCACGAATGCCTATTTTATTTCGAAATAAAAATTCGAAATATTATTCCACATAATGATTTAATCATTAATTTAATTTGTCATAGTAATATTAGATTAATTTGTCAAATTTAATCGAGTTCCGTTGAGAATCGAAAGAGATCGTAACGTCGCTGGACGTTAACACCGTAAGCGTCGGATCACATCGAGACTTAACTCGACGAGAAATTGCACAAGTTTCCCACGATATAAATATCGTCACTTCGCGATATATTTATATATATATATATATTTATATTTATATATACTATGAAAACATAAAGAAATAAATCGTCTCTCGCGCATAGTAGTACCTTGATAGTAATATCGTAGTCATTGTTATCAATATCAATATCATCGTCACGATCATTATCATTATTATCGTAATCATCATCATCATCATTATCATTATCATCATCACTATCATTACCGTTATCATCATCATCGTCATCACTATCATCACTATCATTATCATCACCATCGTCATCATCATTATCATCGTCGTCATCATTATCATCATCATTATCATTATCAGCGTAATTATCAGCAGCATTGTCATTGTCGATTAATGAATTCAACTCGACGACAAATGTTTTATCTATGTACAATTATTTACAATATCGCCATTTGGCCTAATCGTTAATACCAATTGCCTTTGCCTTTGCTGCCACCGCAGCCGCCGTCGCCGCCGCCGCCGCTATGTCGTACACTCTCACTCGCAAGAGCCATTTTCGTAATTAATTACAGACCTTTCTTTCCATTGTCTCTTTGTATCACGTTAAAGTTGGTTTGACAGAAAGATACAATTGGAAATGGTCCATTGGCAAAGCTACACTTTATTTTAACACACCTAACGCACGAATTATAGAAATTAAGTGCGTTTACAGTCAAGCGATTGTTAGTTCGATACTTTCGAAGATCCGATTTTATCTCGATAAATTCGAGTAGATCTATGCAAAAGGAGATGAATGTAACAAAAATTTATTATTAAATAAATAACAATTGTAATTCAAAGAAATTTAGTGGCCCGATCAAGTAAAAACACATATATAATATTGTATATATAAATAAATAAATAATATATATATATACATAATATATGTATGTGGTATATGTGTATAATATTGTTCGTGTGTTGGCCCTAATTGAAGACTCGTTGTTTCGTCAGCACGTGTTAATGAAAAAATAACAACAACAATTGGCTTCATCGCTAACGATATTCTCGCTGTTTTAATCGAAAAAATTGAATACCTATCACAGTCTGTTTTAAAACGTCCGAACGCTCAACGACGATCGGGAATGACGACCCGACGCCATGTTTATCTCTCAATAAGGTCTCCAAACGTTGTTATCCGGTCTGACTTCTTCCTGTCTAACACTACAACTCTCGGTGACGGCTCTCTGTTCAGGACTCTCCGAGTTCTGGAATTGATTTCCATAAAGTTGAGAGTAAAGTATACTCGGCAATACGCCTGGCGTCGGAAAGTAATTGCCGTAGTTTTGGCCGAATCCTTGCTCCTCTTGAACAGGACTTTCCGTGGTGCTAGAGTCCGTTGACAAGGACCTCGGTGAAACGTAGTCCTGGTACCTTTGACTTGTCGTACCGGACATGAGCGTGCTCAGTGGATCCAACGGATCGGATTGACCAGGTGTTGTTGTGTCCGGCACTACTGTGGCGATCAACAGAAAACATCGCAACGAATCGATCAGCTGATCGGACCCCGTAACTCCTTGCGGTCCGATTGACTTTCAGAGTTAACTATATTCGTTGGATCAACTTTAAACAATTACTTTTGCTTTTACGTTTATGAAACACGAATGAATGCATTTTTATCGCGATTTAATTCCCATCAGAAATTTTCCTATACTCTTGAAGCATAATTCGGCACGACCGCAAAGCGTTATTACCTTTTATTTCAAAATATGATCATGAACGAAAGAAAATAACTAAATGGAAAAAGACTTACGCGAGGATACCCCGGTGAAAGCGTCCTGTTGTGGTGTAGTACCAGTGCTACCAGAAGTCACGGCTGAGCCCGCCGTCGAATCAGGAGCCGTCGGGGTGGTCATAGCAGCGGTACCAGCGAACGACGCCAAGGAAGACGTCGGTGGTGGTGGTGGAGGAGGAGGAGGGGGTGGGGGTGGAAAAGACGCTTGGGCCGCACAAGACGACAGAGGACCGGGAAGGTAGCCAGCATATCCTGCTGTACTTCCGTATCCCCAGGAGTTGCTCGCCGTCAAACCGAATTGAGACATGTCTGTGTATAAGGTCGTATAAAACTTAGCGAGCCATAGAAGATTGTAGATTATTTGTAAATTTATGTTGAAAGCTTCAAAACAAAAGCGGAAACCTCAAAAAAGAAAAAAAAAGAGCAGAAAATAAAAGAAGACAACAAGAAAAGCAAGGTAACGGTAAAAAAATGTAGGATATTATTTGTCGATTAAAAGCACTTTGCAAGGTAACTCGTAAACTCGTCCCCCTTTCCTCTCTCTCTCTCATTCTCTTGGCCGAATATATTTTCGTAGAATATAGGCAGCTACCCCGATAGATTTTCCAATGAGTCACTCGGTGAGGGTTCGCGGGGTGGGAGAAGGGCAGAAAGGACGAGCGTGACGGCTTCGGTGGCGAGGTATGAAGGGGTATGAAGGGGGATAGCGGGCAACGGACAAGGCAGAGGGGGTACGGAGATCAAAGGGTTGGTCATCCCCCCGCGTACCTTCGGCCAACTCAAATAACCGACGAGCTCCGGCCGACGAACGAGCCACTGGCCCGTCGTCACGAGAGCTAGCCCTAAATACTGCATCCCGCCATGCTTTTACATCGTTCCGGTTCCACCAAATTCCACACCGCGTCCTTTCCCTTGCTTCTTCTCCTCCTTCCCCTCCACCACCTCCTCCACGCTTTCCCGTTCTCCCTTTTTTCAAGAGAACCACACAACTTTCGTCCGAGCCGCCCGCATAAGAAGAATCCGCGTTGCGATTAAAGTCCCGCTAAATGGCTAGGACCCCACCTTTTTATGTATCTTCTATCTTACTTTTTAATCAGAGAAGAAATTTTAACGTCGAAAACCAAACGAACCGAAGATGATGCCCGCCCTTTCCCTCACTAATCACAATTCAAATACTGCGATTTCGCACGCGTAAACGCATAACTTCAAAATATCGGCCTAGAATTTGCGAATTATCGGACAACCGGAGTACAATGAGAAAGAGAAGGCAGGGTGATATAAAGTTAATAAAGGAAATATTCCGTGCGCTTCATACTTTATCGAGGAATTTTATCAGGCTAGCCGATCTCTCTCTCTCTCTCTCCCGTCTGAAGTAATTCGTTAAATTGATTCTTGAAAATCAACGTCCTGCTGATGCAAGTTCTTTTGTATTACTTTCTTTTTCATTTTTTTTTGGTGGCTATATCTCTCTATCTCTCTTTCACTCTGTACTTTTCCTTTTCTTTTCTTTTTCGTTTATAGGTAATATTCGCGTTTTTAAGAATCAGTTAATCGAAGAACTTTTTGACCGATTTGAGCAGAGGATGAACATTCCGAGATTTCGAATATTCTGACGACGACAACGATGAGAAGGAGGAGGAGGAGGAGGAGGAGGAGGATGACTTTACGTATGAATACTATGTGAATCCGTAATACGAGTTTAGAGTGAGAGAGAGAGGGAGAGAGAGAAACGAAGCTGCCACCCTAAAACACGCTGGCGTCCGACGGGGTCGTACTCCCGTGGCAACCCCTTTAATATAATATTTAATCTAGCTTTGAACAGGCTTGCGGTTTCCGCGTCTGAAGCCGAGAAGCTAGCTTCCGAGCCTACCCAAAAGCAACGGCGTTACTCCTCCACCTCTTATCCACCCAACTCGCAGTAGCAATGCCTGTCTGGAAATATTCTCAAATTCGAAGCCTGTTCTCTTTCTCTCTTTCTCTGGGTAGTCGAGAAAGCTCGATACGATCTCGTAAAGTCATAGAAATATTTATTACATGGAAATATTTGTTTTCATGATATTTCATGTCAACGAATTACATTTAGAGTAACTGAAATTCGGTACAAATAGTAACAATAGAATTCCGAAACTAACTGAACACTTAGATAAAAAGAAAAGAATAAAATAAAAAGAAGAAAAAAGAAACAGAGAGAGAAAGAGAGAAAAGTTGTAATGCAAAAGCGTAAATGCGAGCAGGATAACGCGTGTTGGGGTGCAAACAAACAGACCAAGCTACAATGGTAGATAGTCTAGAAAAGAACTGACAAGTAATAGTACATAGTAACAGGAGGTCGAACGAAGGTACTCACTCTGACAATTACCAGGCATCGCGTGCCTGAAAGACGACAGAGGATCCCGTGGTTGTAACGGGTTCGGCAACGGCTGTAGAGGATTCGGTAGAGACTGTAGAGGATCCACCAATGGGGATGCGAAAAACGGTGCACCACGTTGGGAGGCAAAGGCGAATGCGTGAAACTGTTGTTGCTGCCCTAAAAGAGATAGCACTGCGATCAACCGTGCGCCTGTCCACTGGACTTGAGGTACGCTCAACGAACGCAATCAAGCCACCTAGTAGTCTATCTATCTATTCATCTATCTCATTTTCTTTTCTATTCTTTTAATCTCTTTCCTTTTTATTTTTTTTTGTTCATTTCTTTCTTTATTCCAGTCTATCTTTCATTGATTCGTTCCCTTTTTCCATCGTTTCATCCTTCCCATCGAATTTTCAAGGTGGAAATCGTCGATCGTTTAAGCGTATCTCTCGGTTGGTCTTCGCTTAGAGATATTCTATGGTAGCGCCCCCATTGTGTCTCCAGATCGAGCATACCCTATTCAGCAAACCGGCGGGAATTTCGGGTTGCCGAGTTAGAATTAGGGCTTCGATTGGATTATCGGGACGACGGGAGTCTGGCTCTTCCGCTCTCCCCACGTCCACACCCTCGTCCACACCCACCCACGCACGGTATACGAGTGCGAATCACCCTCTCTATTCTCTCCCTCCCTCTGTCTCTCTCTCTCTCTCTCTCTCTCTCTCTCTCTCTCTCTTGTTCTCTATCCTCCGACAGTCACTCGGGTTCTCCGTTGCCTTGGCCGTGTGTATGTCCGTACGTTAACCTAAAACGCCAGGGACAGCCGGTTCCGCAGGACAGAAGGACGGTTCTCGCCTGTTGGGACGTCTTTAATTGGGTTGGCGACACCGTCCTTGCAGGGAAATAAAATGTATCTCCCTCTTCCACTACCCTTTCCTTCCTTCTCATTCTCTTTCTCTTTCTACATTCCCTTTTACCTTCCCTTCGATTTTGCTTTCTCACTCAACTCGAATGGAGGAGAACTCGATCAGTTTTAACAGCGATACGCCCTACGATCTTCCTACAGGCTCTTGAGGTTTGCCCTACCGATGGATGTAAATCGAACTTTGAAACGTTTTGCGAGATCACAAAGTTGAAACGAACTTCTACTATCCAACGATAGTCAAATGGAAATGATCTCGTTAGATTTAGATTGGAAACGAGTTGTCTAGTCGATCTCGAAGAAATTCCCTTTTGTCGAATTTGTGAAAAATCAAAGGAACACGAAACACCAACGAAATCGTAACGCTACCGGTTCAAGACGGTTAAAAATAATCGCAGGGAAGGCAGCCGGTTCGTTGGATCTCTCTGGTTAAAATAAACGCTTGCCTTGAAACGTTGCCGTGATGTGTGCCGCGACAATTCGAAGGGACGCGGCGAGAGATAAAAGGACCCCGAGCCCTCTTGGGTGGGCCCCCCTCCCTGCGTACGGTTCTTTGGTCATCACCGTCTGTACGATTTTACCCTCTTTTGAGTATACACCTATATGGTCGGCTGCTGTGTTGCTTTTTCCTCCGACCCTACCATGACCCTTTCTCTTTTCTCTCCTATAATTATCACTTGTTCAACAATCACGATAAAAACCTAAAGGGAGAAACGGCAATGTGTTTTTACTCGTGTGGTCAAATTTTATACACTTTTCTTTTTCTTTTTTCTTTTTTTTTTTTTTTTATATCAAGTCTAAAGTATAATTTTATTACACAAGACTGCGCGAAACGATTTTGACTTCTTTTTTGAAACAAGACTGAAACGCATACAAGAATTTTAACACTATTATTATTACGAATAAATTTTATACCAAAGTTATTTCCAATTCGATAAGATCTAACAATTAGAGATTTGTGTGTAATAGGTATAAATATATAATATAATCCCTAGAACGATAGGAATCGAATTCATCCTTTCTTAACCCGTTCATCCAAAGATTCGATTCTTTTCTCTCGTTTCAGAGCGTAAAAGCATTCTCCATCGAAATCCCAAAATCCATTTGGGAAAATACGAAGGGGGCGTGATGCACGAGGAGAAGAAAATGGGAGAGAGAAAGAGAATATAAGAGAGAGAGAAAGAGAGAGAGAGAGAGAAAGACTGAGAGGCGCCTTAGCCTGAAGCTTCTCCGGTAGCCTCGCGCGAGGGTCGTAATTAATTAAACAAGCAATTCATTACACATTCTACCCTCGTCCCGTAGCCGAAGGTAGCCGCCACAGAAAGGCGGCAAGACCAAGGAAATTGATTGAGAGAGGTTTGCCTCCTATCCTCCTCGACCTCCTCGACCTCCTCCTCTTCCTCCTCCTCATTCTCTGCCACCTATTCTTCGCACGGATGTTCTTTCTAACAAACGTTACTCTTCTACGAAATTTAAAATCCATGTTGTACGAAGTAAAAAACAAAAAAAACAAAAAAAAAGAAAAGGCCGAAATTGAGCGGACATCTTCTTTTTATTTCTTTAGTTTCTGTTGCTTAACGTTTGGTGAGAAAGGAAGAGGAAGAAGAAGAAGAAGAAGAAGAAGAAGAGAAGGTAGAAAGAGAAGAACGGGTAGCGACGAGGAACGAAATGAGGAGCTGTCGTTGCCAGCTGGTAACTCTCGAGAAATTCCCTGGCAGTCACCCCGCGAATAGGGGGATGATGTCCGATGAAATCGATAGGGAGGACGACTTCAGATAGGGAAGTTTGAGAAGTTCGAGTCGATTTCCTTTCGTTTCTTAGCACCCTACTACAGCTGAGATGAGTATTACCTACGTCCGGTTGTAATGTTCGTAGTAAGCAAACCAGTTGGAATCTAAATTTCCCTTGGACGAGAGAGGGTCGAAACAACACAGAGAGTAGAGTAAAAGCAAATAACGTTTGGTAGGTAGGTAGGTAGGTTACGTAACGAGGAAAGACGTTTCGTTCCTCCTTTCCGGTGAAAGGAGAGAAGAGCCCAAGACCTTCTTACCCTTCCTATTACAGAGTTTCTGGTAATTGTATGTCCCGAATATACCATGAGTAGTAGAACTACTTGGAGAAGTTTGCGTAAGCGTGTGTTAGCGACATAACACGCGCAATATCTTCGCGGGTCTAACGCCGCAACCCTTTGTCAATGTTATGGCCAACCAGGCCCTACTTATAAATAATGGCAATTGCACGAAACTTAGGCACCAGGTCGAGAAGGAACCGCACACGAGAGACTATTTCAAGTTTCTACCTATACAATCACGTATTACATGGATTTACATGATCAGGAAGAACATTTTCGTGGAAATTTCATCAGATGACCTACTGTGTAAGATTGGAAATCGATGGAAGAGAAAGTAAGAGACAAGAGAGAGAGAGAGAGAGAAAGCAAGATTATACAAGAAACAATTGTTAGCAATCAAATGATTATGATCAAAGCTTTGAAATTGTTATTAAATAGGTCAGAAGTAATAGTACACGCGATAACAAAGATCAATACCTTCGAAATTGTAATTGTTCTGCGAAGACCACTTATTAAGCCATGGCCATTGGATGGATTCTTCGACTACGAGAACAAGCATGCATAACACTCACTACGTATAATAGAAAATTAGAGAAGAATAGAAATGCTTACAGTGATACTCACTGGTCTTGGATCGCGGCTCGCGTGGGCCGTCTACGGTTACTTTGATAGCCTTCGTGTAAGTTGCCACTTGAGGTGGCGTTGTTGATACCGTTATCGTCAAAGTAAAACTTTTTCCTGCAAACAGACAAATCAAAGACATCCAAATTATTACTATTAACATTTGCGATCATTAATCTTTGATTTTATATACTTTTACTAGTTAACAATAAATTAATAAAAAAGTAAGCTAGAGTTCTTTTATTTTTTAAGAGACTCGATTGGATGTATCAAGTGACTATTGTGCAGAACCAGGTAAAGTAAGATTTCTATAGTTGAACTAAACCTGATTTTCTTCCTATTCAATGCAAACAATACGTTTGCTGTCACGTCCGGCCATCAATAACTACCATTTGTTTCGTTTTTAGGCTACGTGGTGATGATAAATTGACCGCATAAAATGTTTTAATATTTAAAATCACACGGATATTAACAAATACAAAATTTGAAACATCATAGTTAATTGGACAATACCACGAACCGAAAAATTCAATCCTTCAACAATAAAATATTTTAACTAAAAGATTATCTATGGTATAATAAAAAATGAAGCACGAATAACTATATATTGTTCTATTATCCTTTAAGAGCATCATACAGATCTCGGTGGCAGTTAATGCTTTAAAGATCATAAAAGAAAAATAGTGAAAAAGGATCCATAGATATAATAGATCAGGTCAAAAAATAAAGAAAGGATCTTAACAAAAGGGAAATCTCTAAAATCGAGATTTCATGGGAAACAGGGAGGAATCAAAGCACGATGATCGAATTCTTCGAATTCCCAACCGTTGGACGAACCGCAAAACGAGTTCGGTTTGTTCGTGGAGACCAGTAGGATGAGTGCTGTTTCTCTTTCACTCTTCCTCTCTCCCTTTTTTTTTTTATCTCTTTTTTTGTGTGTGTGTGCATCGTTCTCTATCGCATCGGCCGTTCTCGCGGCGCGTCGATTCGCGAAAGCGAACGCGAAACCTATTCAACGTCGGCGCTGAAAGTTCGCAAACGTGGTTAGCCGTGCGAAACTCCGTGGTAACCGAATTAGCCGTCGGTAATGTATCGAGGGCGTCGTCGACGGTGACGGTGGCCAGCCAGAAGAGTCAAGCCTGTATACGCGCGCGCGCGCGCGAATGCAACGCGAGGGGTAGTAGAGATAGAAAGAGTACGAGAGAGACAGAGACAGAGACAGAGAGGAGGCTCGAATTATGCTAAAAAGCCTGTTAACCGGGAATAATGTCGCGGAAAAACTCACACCGTCGTGGAAAACACGCAAGCGGCCCGTCGAACACGCGGAGGTTCACCGCAATGCCACCATCCCCTACTGCCACTTGCTACCTCTCGTCAAACCCCCGTGGGCCACCCCTAAATCGCCACCACGTTTTCGTATTCGAATCATCCTGCTTATCGTTACCCAACGATTTAAGGTTTGAATATTTTTTTCAGTCCTGTGGAAAATTAATGATGATTGATCGATCTATCGTTGTTGAAAAATATTCGATTTCCAATTTACATGAATGATCTTATATTTATCCCATAAGGACTTATCGTTAACCGAGTGGAAATTTAATGGAAGCGAGATTTTAGTATATTTCTGTGTAATCGGATACTATAATATAAACCTGGCCGAAAACCATGGCGCATTTTGCCTCCGGATTGTTTAGAAAACGGGCTATTCGAACGCATTATGTTATTTATATCCGTATACAACAAGCGATACTACTTTTGCGTTTCGTCGTTACGCACTGGCACTAACTGAACGACCCGATATTTATTTTACATTCTTCATGATCGTAATTAAACTGCGGTCGACGAATTTGGACGATGCGTGGCGTGCATGATGATCTTGAATTTGGATTTCGAAATGAAAATATGAGAAAAAATATATTATCCAAATGGAAGGAAAAATCTGACAAGATAGAACGATCTCATTCGAATTGTAATAAACATTTATAAAGATTTTCTGTTTATTCAAATCCAATACGTTGGTATAATACATATATATATGTCGTTTAATTTGAAATAAAATATAATTTATACAATCGTTGTCCGTTAGAAAATCTTATTCCCATTAGAGAAAAATAAAGATGGTTAACGAGAATGGATAAATAAAAAGCGAAATAATGGCGAGTGTCGAGCGTGGCCACACGGTGGTTCGCCACGCGAGCTTCTCGTTTTCCACTAGCAATGTAGCTTAAGTTTTACCTAGGTTTACTGGGAGTCACGCCATCCACGATCTGCCTACTGCCTGTTTGCCTGTCAGAACCTTTTCACCTACAACCTACCTATGCCTTGTAGTTAGGTAGGTACGCGTAGGTACATGGTATCACCCTCGGTGCCAGTCACCGTACAACCATTAAAAGTCTTTTCTCCCCTTTCGCGAGACAACCCTCTTTTTTTTTTTCTTTTTTCTTTTTCCTCTTTTTTCTTTCTTTTTTTGTTTTTTTTTTGTTCAAACGCGAGACTCCTCTCACTCGTTCGTTCTTTCTTTCCTTCCTTCCTTCCTTCCTTCCTTCCTTGCCACGTTTTTATCTTTTTTTGGTCTACAGTGCGTCTTCTTTGCTTTGTGAAAGACTCGAATGGAAATGTTTTTTACTTAAACTTTATACGTGTCCGAGTTGTTAAACGTATTGTGTGTTGACTTTAAACCGAAAATGTTGCTGTCAAACCTACACACATTTTCGCTTACCTCTATGCATTTCAATGTAAACAAAAAATAAAAAGAAAACTCTTTTCAAAAGTATGACACTTCGTTGACACGTCTGTTTTTCAAACCGAAAAATATAAAATACCAAAATTACTTGATGCGTTATTAACTAATGTTTATGAAATAAATGGACATTACAATTTTAGAAATCAGATTTTACACATATGCTGCATTTAACGATGGAAGGTGGGGCTGGGGGTAGGGAAGGGAGGAGAAAACCAGTGGCGCGAAGACACGAAATTGAATTTGTATGAAATCGAATAGAGAAGAGAGTCGATCGAGTAATAGCTCGTCCTCGTCGATTCGCTGATTATGCTCGTTAGCATACGTTTCTCCATGAAAGGTGTACGCCTACGTGCGTATATACTCTCGACATTAACATGTTGTGCATATATATATATATACACATGTGTGTATGTTGGAAGTGAATAGGTGTATACGTTTGTAGGTGTAGGCTGTCCGGGTGCTGTCGAGCCAATTAATTAATTTCAATTTTACCCGGAACGAATCGCAAATGCGCTATTGTAGCCTGATAACGAATTGATTATGGTCAGGACACGCAGGCCGAGCCGTTATCGCTTGCGGCTACTATACCTTTTCTCTTTCTAAATTTCGGAAAATAAGCGTTGGTCGTTTCACGAAATTTAGTTCCAACTGTGAACATTTAATGAGAAAGAGAGAGAAAGAGAGAGAGAGAGAGGGAGAGAATGAACAATTTTATTCTAACGACTTCAACTACGAACGAATTAATTATAGTCGTGTGTAGGGTATGAAAGAAGACAAGCTCTTAACATTAATGACGCTTTTATCTGATAAAAAAAAAAAATGAAAAGAAAAGTGGCTTAGGTGATAAGGTTGTCCTCGTATATATGATTAGAAGGACGAAAAAGCACTTTCATCTTAGAAATCGAGAGAAAGGAAATCCCATCCTTGATAACAAAGTTCCAACGTACTCCTCCATACTCTAGGCTGAAACTATAAGCACCCAAATGATCTATCTCGTTAAAGGGCTTAGAAGCAAAGGGGTAGAAACGATCCAGTACCTTCGGGGTAGATTTTGCTCTGATGGAGCAGGCATTACAGTTGAACGTGCGGCAAGAGGTCTCCGGCTTATCATCGATATTGCAAAGCTCTCGACTATCATACTATCGTGCTAGTCTACTTCGCGAATGATGTTATTCATGTTCTTACTTGTTCTTGTTCTTGGTTCTTGTTATTGTTGTTCTTCTTCTTCTTCTGATTATTATTATTATTATTTCTTTAAGTTTAAGAATAAATTTTATTAAAAATTACAAATTATATGGAGATTCGATGAACCAACGAATCTTTTAAATTCAATGAGCCTTCGAGATTCAAGTTCGTACGAGTCTGAGTACCTTTATGTTCAGAGAACAAGAGGATCATTATAGATTCTAGGGCGACAATTCGGTGCACATTGGTTTCTAGGAATATTCAAGGAAGGAAGGAAGGAACGAACGAACGAACGAAGAGACGAGAAACTGACAAGAGAGACACTTCTCTTACATTCTTCATCCAAGCTTATGTTAATTCCATGCCAAGCGAAAACAATCGAGAGCTAATCCCAGACAAATGACAGACGCTTGCGAGCTTCTAAAATCCAAAGAGGGTGAAGTTTCCCTCTCGTTCGTCGTAAGACTAGAGAGACAGAGAATTCGACAAATCTGTGATTTACGAAGAGCGAATCGTGTTCGCGAAAAGGGTTCCTAAGATCTGAACAAAATCTAATGTTTTCTTCACTATACCATCCTACCATTCTAATCGTTAACTTCTTCGAACTTAAAATTGTTTAGAAATTGGTCATCAAAAAAAGAGATAGAATAGAAGGGAAAAAATAAAAAGATGTAAGGAAATTCTTATTTAAAGGAATAATTGTATCTCGTCGAAAGTAGGTCGAACTACTGAGTAGAAATTCTCCGTTGCAAGGTCGAATTGGATTAGCCGAAGTACCCAGGCTAATAACGTTAATTAAAATCCGTCTGAAACCTCAATTAATATCAGCACCAGCCACCCTACTTTTGGCTTCGTTGCGTTGCGTTTCTTCCCTACTTTCCTCTTCTTCCGTTACTCTCTATCTAACGAAGAAGGAAGGTGGCTGAAATAAACACGTTGAATCGGTCTGTAGTAGTGCGGACAAATAAAAGCCATTACCCATCCCTAAGATATCGTCGTCGTCGTCTTTGTCGTCTTTGTCGTCTTCATCGTTTTCGTCACAATCTTCTCCTCGAAACCATCCTCGCACAATAAGGAGATACTAAGATAGAAACAGTTAGCTGGTGTTCGTTCAATGTCAACCAGAAAAGGAACCTTGGTAAGCTTCGAAAGACAGACTGGCAAGACTTTTCCCTTTTGGTAAGGGCTAAAGAAAAAGGAGGGTGTCTCAAGACGTCCACGACCTACCCTTACTACAAGACCAACGAAGATTCTTCCTTGTACGAAAAGGGTCCCTACCTCTCCCTTTTCTTACTTTCCTCTTTCTCGTCTTCATTCGCGACGCCGAGGGGCGACACGCTTCGTCGACGGAAGCCAAACAACTTTCTACTTTTATGAATGGAGCAAGGGGAAAGTAGGCCAAGAAGGTTCAACCTCTTTTAAGATCAGGAATAATCTTTTTTTCTCAGCATATCTTTTTTTTTCTCTCCCACTCTTTTTCTCTCTCTATCTTATCATCTCCTCAATATATTTTTGATTAAAAATTAATTTAGAACGCGTATCGAGTAACGCAACAACGAAAATGTTTTCGCAAATTTCTGAATTTCGGGCTTCGCACAAAACCAATTTGGAATTTCTCATAAATCTATTCTCTTCTCCATAGTCTTCTAAGAGATTAATCTATTCTAATTAATAACTCACGGATCAAATCTCTACTCACCTCTGCCACTTCTACCGACGAACCTTAGATCGTTGAACTTAGCTACTTGATTTTTCATCAATGCCGTAGAATTCCTTAATTCGGCGCAACAATTTTCATCGTTACCAGCACGAACCGTCACTAAAGTACCGTCGCCAACTTCTCCCAAAGCTACCACTTTAAATGCCACCGGTAACGTCTTGTTCGATCTCCAGTGGGCTGGTAAAACCGTACAGACCAAATGTGGTGAGCCTGGAAGAGGAATCATTTCAATAATGAGAAGAAAATTAAAATCTCTCGTTTCAAATCAAAGTATGCGATCACCATATCTTTTACAAATCTTTTTGCTAATATCAATGAAGATTATCATCAATGTACACAGAATGTAATCATAATTGATGCAATTCTCTTGTTAATCTCTCCAATAATATAATACAATGCGAATGAATTATTCTGTTACTTGTATTAACATAATAATGCTATACTAATTGTACAAATAATTATAACAGTATACTGAACAGAAAATAAATGATATTATCAAAAAATTTGCATTTATTTTTTAAATTAAAAGTATAATTTAGACATAGAAGAAAGTATTAGAAAATAAAAAAAAAATAATGTTACATATATATATAAAGTCGGTTTAAAACGCAAAGTAAAACAGACGCGACGCGGATTGTTATAAATAATAATTATCTCGAGAGAGAGAGAGAAAAAGAGTAAAAAGTCACCTGTCCTGACGAGTTCGCCAGGATGCTCGCTAACAAAATCACCAAGCGTTCTCTCGGCAAGAATATCGCTGGTCATTTTGGTATAGGCGTCCGTCAATGGCGAGACGCCGGACTCCGGTGAGGCAGCCGCCCCAGGAGCCGAAGCTCCTGTCAACTGCATCCTGGTAGAAGATCCTCCTCCGCTACTCTCGCTTCCACCGCTAGACGTTCCACTGCCAGACTCGTTGCTCGATGTCCTCACCGAAGCACCGCCGCCGCTTCCGGTTACCGTGTTTCCGCCGCCGCCACCGTTGTTGCAACGGTCGAATATATCCATAGGCAGTCAGAACGCCGGATGAAACATCCTTCCATTCGGTTCGTACAACACCGAACCGACACTTTCCAAAAGATCTTCAAATCTTAACACCTTCTTTTCTTATTCTTTTTTTTTTCTTCTTATTTATTTATTTATTTATTTCACCGACAAGTTCTCATCAAGTTCAATCTTTTAACATTATCATATTTTGTTACTAGGAATTATCTAATACATCATAGATTCATATCAATCTTTCAACGCTTAAACCTTCTCAATTTTTTGTCGATCCCGTAACCGCAGTATTAAAGTTTACCGCACGATCTGATATCCAGCTACGAATTCATCGAGATCTGCAACCAGAGAAATTCTCATTCTTCAAACTGTTAGCTAATCTCTTCCGTACGTTGTCGATGTCTGTACGAAAGCACGAATTAAACGTACGAATGTATATACCAAAGTTAAACGTTCTAAAACTCTAAGATTAAATAAATAATCGAAATAATATGTGTATTTTTTTCTCGCGAGAATAGGTCACGATACGATCTTTAGTATTATTCATGTATGTAGAATGTTTACCAATTTGAGAGAAAGAGTTAGAGAAAGATAAAAAGAAAGGGGAAAGAGAAAGAGGGGTAGATAGAGAAAAACAGGAAAAATACTACGAAGAGAAAGAGAGAAGGGAGAGATCGGTGAACGAGGTTGAAGAGGAGCAGGAGGAGGAGGAGGTGGAGGATGAGGAGGAAGGGGAGGAAGGGGAAAAACGGTTGACACGAACGAAGCGACTCGCACACTTTTCACGCGGGCGGCTGGTGACGTCACCGTTCATTCAGTAATTTTTGCGCACGTCACCGGGGCTGACACGGCGTATCCAGGTGGTACGGAGGGGCAGACCCGCGAGAGCTAGTAGTGGGGACGGAAAAAATAGGGGAAAAAGAACGGCCACCACCGGTGAGGCAAACCCCCACACACGAATACTCTCAACCCCTACGCACTACGACCGCGTGTCAAACTACACGTGGTACGTTACCACGTTGTTCTCTGTCAATTCTTCGTCCTTCGTCCTTTCTCCTTCCACCTTCGACGCGAAAAAGAAAAAGTAGCTTTTTGTTTTTTTTTTTATAATTTAAGAAAATAATATTAGTTAATTGAAACACAGGCTATGCTATTAGAAATTTCCAAATCGATTTCTCTGGTCTTTGGTCGAGAATTTAATCGAGAAATTTCGCTTGACGAGGATATTATTTTGACTAAGAAGTTATACAAAAATATCGATAGGATGAAATTTATTCCGATCCGAAATAATTCCTATAACATTTGAATCGATCGCTTATCGGCTATCCACGATTACCAATGAACGGAATCCGCCCGGGAAATTATGTAGAATCGATAAGTACTATTACATTACCCTCGTTAAATTAGTAATTCATACTAATATAAAGTGGAACGCGTTACTATCGTCATTACGAACTCAACCGAACCCATGATTTTGTTGTTGCTGTTGTTACTAGAATCGTGCGAAAGAAATCTATGACAGAATTGAAATTTGAAAATAGGTACGAATTTACGAAGAATTGATATTATTCGATAGAAATGTTTGTAGAATCTATGTGTTTTAACGATTTAAAACGAAAGGCATATGAACAAAATGTTGCGATAAATAGTCGCAAGGAATTCTCGATGATCTTACGAGAGAAACTTTCGACGACGTTGCGACGGCTAAGATGCCCGCTTAACTTCGCATTCAAATCTCTTACCAAGCTCGTTGCTTGTTGCCTTTTCTAAAGAAAAAAAAAAGTTACGCAGATCGAGACACGATTGTTCGATAATTCTGCGAATGTTTGCTTACGATTTTGACATGTTTCAGTTGAAATTCGAGCTGTCATCAAACGACTTGTTCGAGGTTTGAGATTGTTGAAGCATCGACAAGATTTGGAAAACGAATTATTCTAAGATCCAGGAGAATAATAAATTCATCGACAATTTTTGTTGTAATGACCGAAATAATCTTCTTTTTCTCTTCTATTACGAGATCAATCGATTGGATGAACGATCTTCTGTGTAGTTAGAATCTCGAATATGAACGAACGTTAACACCGTTATTATGCTTATTCTGAAGAAAAAACATCACGATTCACAAACAACACTAAAATAACTCAGGCGAAAGGTTACCCTTTTCCGAGTAAGAATATTCCCTGTAGGAATGATTTGAATCACTGAAAAGATCGTCCAAAATGATTGCATCCAAGATACACGGGTGATTACACAACACTAACTCGAATAATGATAACCGTTCGTTATTCACACTCGAATTCTTCTGACACTACTAAACGAAAATGACGAAAAATAGAAAAAGAAAAATATTAACACAGCCATCATTTGTGGAGATCATTTCTAATCCGTTCACTGTTCACTTTTTGTAAGAAAAAGATGAAGAAAATAAATAAAGAATAAGAAAGGAATAATATAAAAGGTTATAAAATTCGTAATGCACAATAAAACCAAGTTAAAGACGATTACATGAGGATATTATCCGAGGGTAGTAGGATTTGGCTTGGCAGGATCATCGAGATTCCTTGAAAGGTCCTCTTGGGATGTTCCGAGGTAACTCGTGAACAATATTCCAGAAGGATGATAGGACGATATCCGTGAGGAGTCTTCGGTGCTTCTATTCTGGGCGTGCTACGGTACTCTGTGGTGTATTTCGGAACACCCGTTGGGGTCACTAACTATAATTTCGGCGGTTCGTGTGAGGCAACAGCCGTTGACGCACTGGTCCATGCCAACACACGCAGCATCCCTTTCCCCTTTCCTGGTTCCACTCATACCCTTCTGCCACCCCACTCCTTCCAGCCACCGTTCCTTCTCTCTCTCTCTCTCTCTCGGACTGACTCTCTCGCTCTTCCCAATGCGCGCTCCAACTCCCTCTTTCTCTTTCGCTGCTCCTCTCATTGGCGCGCTTCGCGTCTCTCTTTCCCTCTTTCAGAACCCTCATTCTATCCCTCTCCGTCTCTCTCTTTCTCTCCCACGTTGCTCTTTATCGCTTTATCTCCCACCGGACTCGAAGCTCTCTCCCTCTCGCGATGCCCACCTCTCTTTCTCTATCTTTCTCTTTCTCTTTCTCTTTCTCGTTCTATTTCTCTTTCTCTCTCTCTCCCTTCTTTCCCCTCGAACCCTTTTGCGGTATGGCTCGCGTGCTGGACATCCGTGGGGAGCTCGGCTTTGATCGATCGATCGAACCTCGATTTGATCGCTTTCCCCGTGGTCCACTCTCTCCTCATCCTCCTGTTCCTCGTCCTCGGCGATTTCTTTTCAAAGAATTCGCCACCATCGCGTTATTAGATCGCTCGCGAAGAGCACCGCGAGTTTTGCAAAATTAAGCGCCACGGATTTTCATATCAAAACTGATGATCTTCTCTCGGCTTCCCTGTTTTAAAATCCTTGACACTTTTATACTTTCATTTTTCTTCTATTTCTGCTCTAACCATTCTTTCTGATAATAATAGAAGAGTAAGAGAAAAAGACTAGATTTAACGATTCACAAATGACACAGTGATAAAATTGAAACGATCAAATAAAAAAATAAAAAAAAAGAAGGAAGAGAAAAACAAAAAAGAAAAGAGAGAGAAAGAAACAAAAAAATATTCATTTCTCATAGTAACGAATCAACCCTACCTATGCGCTACCGAATAGATGATGATCGTATTTTCAGAGAAATCCGAGGTTATCCTGCGTGTTTGCCTGCCGGCAAGTCTGCGACCAGTTGGATATCGTCAGGATATATTCGCGCAGGAAATGGGTAGCTCCATTGTTTGCACATTCGTACAAACAGTGCAGCGTGAGGATGCGCCCGGCGAACTCTCTATGTTTGATTTTCGAAAGTGAAGCCGTATTCCATTGTACGCCGTATGCCGACGCGAATGATATCGCGAGTTGAGCTAGCATGTTGGGCCTCGGTAAAGAATCGAGACTACCATTGCAAAGATGTCGATCCTTCATCGTGATCTGGGAACATGATCGAGAATAATCCATTCCAATGATGTAAGAACGAAAAGAATAATCGTAAGAAAATCCAAAATAATTTCAATCGTTCAAAATTAAGGAAAAAAAACTGCAAAGAAAATTAAAAGATGAATTAAAAAAAGAACGAGGAACGAAAAAGTAGGAGTATCGATGGGGGAAGGGTAGTGGGTGGTATTCGGAGGTCCAGTCGAACGATTCGCCGACGAGACGGTGACAAACAGCGATACGGTGGAAACGTGGAAACTGGACGGCCGTCGTCGTATTGACAAACGACCTAACGCCAGTGTGGACCGCTGCATTCGACGAGATTCGAATTATCTCTGTTGGAGCTTGTCAATGCAAATGCCATACCTACATTCAATTACCTCTCGTCACGCTCCGATCAACGCGATTTCGCCGACGAGATACTTCCTGCGTTCCAAACAACTCGATCGGATCTTCGACGACTCCTCCTCCCTCCCTCTCCCTCCCCCTACCACCCTCCTGCTCCTAACCGACAGCCCACTCAAACATACCCGTTCCTTTTTTAATTTCTATATTATTCTCTCATTTGGATTCATTTTTATCTGAAAATTTGATAGATGATTTCGTAACACCGCACTCGTCGAGACACTTGTCATAGGATTAATCTCAGCTATTAGGGGATGCTATTTTAAAATTAGGTTAATCGTTGATAAAAACCAACATGCGAAACAACCCACGGGATGTCACACGGACACAATGTCACTGGATGGACTCGTCGTCGATTGATAATTGATACTCGAATGCACTTCTCGCCGATCGGGAAAATGAAAACTAACCTTCCACTCTACTCTTTTTCCCTCTCTCTCTCTCTGTCTCTATCTCTCTGTTTCTCTCTTTATCCTTCTTTATCTCTTTCTCTCTCTGTGTCTCCCTATTTCTCTCATTCTTTTTATCCACGTGGAATACGATACGATTTACAATGTGGACGATGACAAGATCGTGCGTACATACCAAACTTGGGGATCCGAAATAGTCTCCGGGCACTCACGATATCACGATATGAAGATATTTAAATGAATATCACACTTATATCCAGTCACGAGGTCACGAATCATCGAGAGATCGAGTATCCGATGAGAAATAGAATTAATCGGAATGAGATCGGTTTAGTAAATTTCGCGAAGAAGGATTGTAACGAGCACGTGTGTTGTCACGTTAGAGAGAAAGAGAAAAAGAGAGTTGGTTAGAGAAAGATAATTCGCGTTAGCGTTAAACGAACGAGAGAACAACGATAACGTGTGTGGGGATTCGCGTACGATCGAAGGAAAAATATTCGTGATGAGTAATCGATGTCAAGAAAGAAAGAAAGAAAGAAAGAAATATGGTAGGTAGGAAAAAGGAATGAACGAACAGTTTGCGCTTTTAAAACCGATTCTCTGGTTCGTTCGCGATATCTACGAAACCGAGGAAGCCGCTTCTACCAGCGGCTTAGAGAGAGAAACGAATACTGGCAGCGTGCGATGGTAACGTGCGTGCATACGAGCAACAAAGCTGACGGTAGCACCAGCAACACACCAGCAACGCCAACGGTAGCAGCAACCGTACCGCGTGAACGCTAAACCACCCCTTTCGTTCCGCCGACCCTTTTTCACTCTCTCTTTCTCTTTCTCTTCTCCACTGTGGTACGACGACAGAGATAAACTCAACCAACTCTCTTTCTCTTTCCTACCCGATACCTTTACCACGAGCGAAACTCTCTCCCCTCCCTATCTCTTCTCCAACCACCCCTACCCTTCCGTGTGCCGCCCCTTCCACGTGACTCGACCACCCCTACGACGACGTCGACGACGATGGGGGTGCTCCTCCAAGTTGGAGGGAGGATGCCGCTTAGACATCCAACCTCCCTCCTCAACCTCCTCTTCATCCTTCTACTCTTCCTCCTATTCCTTCTACCTTCACTATATCTCGGCTCCCACCGGTGAACATGTGTAACACGCAGCCTTGATTACACGCCCGCGGCCTTGTAAAAATTATTATTATTATCTCGACCTACTATACCATCGTTATTACTTTCTTTCTTCATTTTTTCTTCCTCTCTCTCTTTCATTCTTTTTCTTATTTATTTTCTAAATTCCTAACACTTCTATCGCTTTTTTGTTAGTAACATTTATCATTTTTCCGTCTCACACTTCGTTCAATTCCCATCGCCATTGCCGCTGCCGCCGCCGCCACTATTACGCGTTAATGGGTAACATAATCCACGTTAATGTTTTCTCGTATTCGGTTTAGGCGATTCTTTGATTCGCTCGATGTTTGAAATCATCGATGGCCGTTAATTCGTGAGTAGAAAGCGGCCGTAATTAGAAACGCGATTCTAAATAGCCCGACGGGCTTCGGGAGTGGCAGAGAGGGAGAGAGATACAGAATGAGAGAAAGAGAAAGAGAGAGAGAGAGAAGAGCGAAATGAAAACGCGTTATCGATCGAGGGCTCGATTAAACCGTTCAATGGAGACGTACGACGAATCCGCGTTAATTCCTGCCCGTTGGACGGTGCAAAAGAATCGTTTGCATCTCGTTCCGCGCCAGCGAGTCGAACATCTATTTGGTTAATGCTTAAATGATCGCGGCTCATCGTTAACCAGGGTCCCGTCGTTAATCCTTATTATATTACATGGTGTGTTTTACATTTTGTTGTCTGTACAACAGGACAAAAATCATTGGAAATGAAAATGTTGTATCGAATCAAACACGTTATCGATTGATCAAAATTAAACAATCTTACTTATGTGCGTGATAATAGAATTTGGAAATAAATCTATTATAAGCCAAAAAAAAAAAAAAAACATAAAGTTTTTGTTTTCGGTGTATACAATTGTGCAAGTAATATTCTAATGTTTGTCAAGCAAGCAATGAATCGGAAATGATATCTAATTGAAATTCGATGAGGGTGGTTTGTTTCCTGTCTACTATTGATATCCTTTACTCGCCGTATGGATTGCTTTTATGCTAAGTACTACTCGTTCATTTGTTTAAATGTTCTATGCTGATAAGACAGTCAAATGGATTATCCCTACGACCAACAGGAAAGTATCCAAAATTTTGAATCGAGATGCAATCTAGTTCTCGAATTGCAAATACACGTGCAAGCATACAATTATAATTCTCGTTATTTTAATTAATAAATATACTTGTTAAATTATCTTACAAATTTTTGTTTAAAATTCGTATAACAATCGACGAATCGGTACAATGCAATTAAAATCTTAACCTTGAAATCTAATTTAAAGAGACTACCGAGTAAAATCGTTAAATGAGTAAACGTAGAAACTTTAGGCAATGAGAAACCACCCCGAACAGGTGAATGTTTTGGCTATAGTTGAAGGACCCTTGGACAAGTCTAAGAAGGGGTTAGGGTAAATCGAAAACTCGTCTGAACGTAACGCGTGTGCCATTTCGCGGATACTCTTGACTGTTACTGCTGCTGCTGCTGCTGCTGCTGTTAGCAGAAAACGATGCGACGGTTTCCTAGGAAGTGAACAGAGAAGAACGGAGACGATACCAACGCGGCTTTCCCTGGTTTCTGGTCGAAGTGGGGCTAACCGCAGAATCGGAGGCAAGATGGCAAAAGTAAGTCGAGAGTCGAGGGGCGGTCCTGCGGCCTGCCCGGCCCACCGGCCCACCGGCGCATCCTCCTTCTCTCTTCTTTCTCTATCAGACCAGACTAAACTTAAGATCTCTCCTCCCCCACCCTCCACCACCCCAACCCATACGATAGATTTTCTTATTCTTTTGCAAAAACATACGACTTTTGTTTTTTTTCTTTTCTTATTCAACACCAATTTTAATAGACACGTTTAACCCTTTGAATGTGAAGCCTAGCTAACGATTGCTATTGCTGAGGATGGAATAATTTTTCTGTTATTTTGATTAAATAAAAGAAAAAAAAAAGAATTTTTACTTTCGAGTTAAAGAAGGTCGCATTCGTTGGACGTATATATGTGCTCATAGCACTCATATGGTTAAAATCAATTTTCTGGAAGTATTTTTCATTTTAATTACATCTGCAGTAGTATTGTTTCGATACGGAATATATAATTAACGTTGTAATATTAAATTTGTTAAAAAAATACATTCCTCGGCTGCCCCCTTCGTCACTTTTTTTGATAATTTTAGAAATTTCTATTAACGTTAGTATGAAACTATTTCGAATATAAAAATCTATATGTTTAAAGGAAAAGAAAGAATTTATTTAACTCTCTTTTTCTCTCACTCTCTCTCTCCCTCTCTCTATCTCTCTCTATCATTTTATGAGTTTAAGGTTGTTAATAACGTTCGTAACTGTTTGAAATGAAAATATTAACGAAAGAAAAGAAGATAGAATTCGGGTAACTCCAAAGCTATCACGTACGACGAACTTTTTCCATAATTAGATAAAATAGAAATTTTAATTAAAGCTCGGAAACAGAAAGAAATTTAAAAATGTTGGGTTAACGATAAAAAAAAAAGAGAAAAAGAGAAATAAAAAGAGAAAAATATAAAAAGAAAGAAAAACGACGAATTTTGTCCGTAAATAATTTCCGAGCTTTGTGCACGAAAGTTTCTCATCAAGCACACCGAAGTCGTTGATCCTTCTCAATCGAAAAGTCGAGAATGTAAAACAAAAAAACACATCCCCCGTAAAGCACGAGGTAAAAGGGTAGAATAAACATTTCTTGAATGGTTAGTAGCGACGTGGTACGAGAACGAGCGGAGGGTAAAGGGAAGTTTGCGGTTTTAGAGAGGGGGGATCGGTTCCAGACTTTGCAAGCACGAGTGGGACGGACGTAGGGGTGCCGCCTACGCGTACGAGAAAGATGGATTTTCGAGCTTCTAAAAGTAGACGAACGAGCTCGAACGAGTTTACACGTTGGATAATACTCGCCTACAAAGTTAATCAAATCTTTCAAATATTACACAAACGCGCATTCACGTACCTAAGT